TTTCATTTCCTTTAAATTGTAATGTTTATGATTAGGTCAACATTGTCCAACAGAAATAAAAGGTGAACCATATGTATGATTTTAAATTTTTAATGGGTATATTTTATAAATGTAAAAAGAAGTAATATTAATTTTAAAAGCATATTCTGTTAAACCAATAGAGCCAAAATATTATTTTAACACATATCAATACAAAATTATATTTTTATTCCTCTCTTAAGTTTTCTAAATCTAATGCATGTTTGCTACCTCAACTCCATCACTAAATTTTCATATGAAATAGTTGATCTGTATTTAGATTTCATAAAATTCTTTTAAAAAGGTAGATGTGCATACCCAAGTAGTTGCATATTTGAAAGACTTCTAATAATAATCTAGCAAGTACTTGAGGTTTATATTTAATTGAACTCAGAAAGAATTAAAACTTTAGTATTACAATCACACTGGCCACATTTCTCACGTTCAATACCTCCAATAGCTAGAAGCTGCCATATTAGATTCAAGGCTTCAGAGAAGGGGTGGGGGCTTTAAGAGAAGGGTCTTTGTCAAGAGAGTACAGGATTGGGGCCGGGGATTTGGCTCAGTGGTTCTGCCGACTGCCTTGCAAGTGCAAGGCCCTGAGTTCTATCCCTGGTACCAAAAAAAAAAGAAAAAGAGAGAGAGAGAGAGAGAGAGAGTATAAGATTTTCCAAATCCCAAAGCTACTTTTGTACAACAAAGGCAAGATATGGAGATCTGAGTCTTTAAATCAATAATAGAACACAGGACATAATGTAAAGAACAGTGCTGTCAACCTAGGAGGAGGGAGAAGACTCTAGGAGATGAAAAGATATATTGACCCCCCTTAGGAGTGCACCCTTAGATTTCAAACCCAGAGAAGGAAGTGGTCCTTGAATAATGAAAAATGGAGTGTCTTCTACCTCATTTCTGACTTGAAACTGGGAGAACTCGCTCTTCAAAGTGCACTGAGACATGTCAGGCAGCAGATCAGACAGTGCCATGAATGGAACCTGCAGTTCATCTTGGGCTGTGAGGAAGACGTGCTCTTTATCACCTGTGAGCTTAGATGGACCAAATCAGAAAGAAGCCACAAAGATATTAGCAATGGCTCTCAGTAGAGTCTCAGGGACAGAGTGGGGTATTCACGTAACAGTGGAGGCCAAGGTAGACCTGGTATTTTGTACATCAGTCCTGGGTCACTGCACTCAGTTTACTTCCTCACATCAGTTATGAGGTCTTGCAGGAATCCAAGTAGAGTGTAGTGTTGTCTTGTTAAAAGTGAGAAGCCACGAACAACTGAATATCTATTCAGGATTCCTCCCTCCCCATCCAAGTCTTACACATGATGAAGTGTAGATCATTATGGAAAATAGAATAGCTGCATCCTTTACACAATCTAGACCATAATATATAAACCTTATGACTTTTGTAGGGCAGAAAGTTCTCTTATCATAAGATGCATGGCAAGTGTGCCACTAACAAATGACAGGTTAATGAGAGAATGCATAACAAATGTGTTTCATCAAGTTTTAAGTAACACAAGAAACTTCAGAAATGAAGACACATGTTTATTCTTAAATTCAGTGAAGACTAGCCGATCATATAGAAATACGGTTGGAAAAGAGCATGATTGAAGAGTAAGAAATTTACCATTCCATGACCTTCCTTCTGGAAGAAGCATTCTGGTTTCTTTGACTTGCTTCCAAGGAGAAGGGAAGAATTCTTCCACTTGCTTCAGTGGAAGACAGAAGGGCAGGAGAAGGGCAGAGAGAAATTTTTGTTTGTTTTTGAGCCTCCGAATCTCTTTTAGTTCAAACTATTCACCATGTCAAAGCACCACACTACGTTTGTGAATAAGCAAAGAGAAAGTTACAGAGGAATCAGGCTGTTAAGCGGAGAGAAAATGATTAGCTTTAGTTTTCTGCATCTTAGTGCTAAGAGGTATTCGTTGAATGAATGAGGAATGCAAATATGGTTAAGTGGCTTGACTTTAAGATAGTGAGCATCCACTGACCCTTGAGAACTGTGTAAATATCATCCTACTCAAGTCATATTATCCTTCTGTTTGTGCTTATTTTAGCTACATTTTGACATCTGGTTAACCTAGATGGTTTCATAAGTGAATTAAAAACCAAGAGAGCATAAATAATCAATTCCTGTCCTGTATCCAACTTGCCTAATTGATTATTATACCATCATTTCCTCTTCTGTAAACTGGACATAATAGACTTTCTGTAAGATTAACACAATTAGACTGCTTAATACACACTTATCTTTATAAAGTACCAGAGTTGTCAAGTCCAAGTGAAAATTCTTTAATTTTTCTTTTGTTACATCACTGGTGATTCCATTCCAGAAAAAGCCTGTGCATTATAAAGCACTGCTCTAATCCACTTTATACTTACATCTGTAACTCTTGAATTCTGATAACCCTTGGAAATTCAGTCACCTCACATTCATGCTCAGTGTGAACATTAAGTAGGAATCTGATATAGGACAATACAAATTTCAGATGACTTGCAATATTGATGCTCTTTTAGTAGTTTTTATTTTGGGGCTTTCTATAAACCTTGCTTGAGTCATTAGGGCAATTTAGGATGCAACTGAGAAACATCAGAGGGTTGAAGCTTAAACCTACAAGTCACTGTGGGCCTGTACCATTTGAACGAGAGCTGGGTGGTACCTGAGATGGCCTTGGCAGGAGGGGAACAAAACCATTTATCAAAGACATGTGGATTCTTTAGGGGATTCTGCACATGGACTACATTTACCCTACTTCCCTATTCTTTCTGTTCTCCCTAATGCAAAGCTCAGATGTGGCCTCCGTTCTGTGATATTATGGGAACTATTATTCTCCTATCATTAATTCCAGCTCTCTTTCTCCTTTTGTGAAACTCAGTTTATGTCCTTCAGTCACTTCTCCCTACCCGTAAGAAATCAGTGGAGAAAGAAAGAATGAACAGTAAGAGATACTTAAATACTTAAGATTCAGAAGTATCTGAGTGTTTTTGTTCTACTTTCGATTACAACCGTTTGTTTTTCAGCAGTAGTACCTCAAGTTGTACAGTCTTCATAGTAAGCTTTATCATGATTATATTTTTTTCACCTATTCAATGCAGGTTATAATGATAACTTATAGGGTTGCTTGAGGATTTCATGAAATAATGTAAATCCTTAGGACATTGCCCTAAACTGTGACTACTCAGTAAATGATAGCAATAATTAATATCAGTGGTATTCATATTATTTGATTATCCCACATTTATTTTGTCTTGGGATAGGTTATAGTTTTGAGATGCGAAGAAATGCAGAGGGAAGGAATCGTCAACACCTTTATGACTTTGTGAAAGAAAATTCCACCAGTAGCCTAAATCTGACTCTATTCACATGCACCAGTCATCCAAAGAATTGCCCTATTACTGCATCACTGGCAACTGGAAGTGTCATGATATCCTTGCTTTGTTATGCCTGCAAACAGACCTCTTAGCACACTCTTTCAGAATGGCAAAAGCATCTTTTTCTCATTCACATCTCTTCTTGTCTCCTTCTCATGAATGCTTATCTTCTTTGACTGAGCTTGTTAAGCCTTTCTAAAGACAATCTGAGAATACACAGACCTAACTCTAAAGGAAGAGTACAATCTGGAGACAATCCAGACTTTTTTCCTTCGAAGTACTGGGACCTAGGATAGATCACAAAGGGGCACAACTTGGCTAGAGAAGACTTGTACTATTTAAACTGTTTAAATATTCATATATCTTCCTCTGGTAGCTAACAGTACTGCATATTTTGCCTAGCAAAAAAAAAAAAAAAACCACACAAAACAATACAGAAGATAATTACTGAATTTCATAGCATTCTAAAATGGTTGTGAGGAACTAATTTTGGTTTATGCTCCTAGGTAAATGTATTTTTTATTCAATTCAGGACAATAGTCAAGTGATTATATCCATTTCTAAGTATTTTTCTGAGAATAATATTAGTGCAAGGCAATTCCTGTCATGAACATCATAAAATTTAATCTAAAATTGTTTTGGCAAAGCCATCCCTTTTATAAGTACTTCATTACTGGCTTGAATAAAAAGTGATACATTCCAAGTGCAATCAACAGGTTTGCTTATAGAATATTACATGGTTTAAATTAAGAACAGTTGATCTATAGAATTAATCAGATTAGAAGGACCAATTATTCTCAAGATAGTGTCTCATAACTTAGATATATTTCATTCAGTGCTATGAATTGATACTATCTGTTCTTTATTAGCATATATGAAAATTCCAAAATATAGGCATCAATTCATTCTTTTGTTTTGCTTTTAGTTGACACATTTTCATCATTATAATCTTCTTTATTGTCCTAGTTTTTGCTGATAAATTTAAACACAGTAGTCAATTTCAAATAACAACATAAGAGCAAATATTCACATTTAATTGAACCTTAAATTCCTTCTTCAATGCAACATTTGCATGGTGGAAATCTCCATTCTGTTTCTTCTAACTACATTCACTATTCTAGTTTTATCAAGTTTGTCTCCTCTCAGTAAAACATTAAGCATTAAAAATACCATCAGTTTTCTCCTTCTAACAATATTGTTTCAGTTGATCTAAAATATAAATTCAAGTATAACCAGAAAAGGTACATTAAAAATTGGAAAAGAATAAAGGTCACTTGGAATATCTGTGGTCAATATTCCTAGATAATTAATAATTTTACATAAGAATTGACCAAAATATATTGCCTTATTAGGTAAGTAAAACTAAAAAATTGCTACTTGAACTCTACTTTTAAGAAACTTCCTTCAAGAGATATATAAATGATGGTTAATGATTTGAACCTAATAAACATATATGACTATACATATATATGTCTATATATATGTCTATACATAATGTGTGTGTGTGTATATATATATATATATATATATATACATAATATGCTATGTGTATATATGAGGAAAATAACTTCATGAAAAGTTATGCTTTTTTACTTATTGTTTCAGATGTACATCACCAACACAATCAAAGCCAAAGGAACGAGACTTGCTAAGCCAGTTCTATGCTTGGGATTAATGTGTTTAGCCTTCCTCACTGGACTCAACAGAGTAGCAGAATATCGAAATCATTGGTCAGATGTGATAGCAGGCTTTCTGGTTGGAATATCTATAGCGGTGTTTCTGGTAAGTAGATTGAGATAGATATTATTGATGTTTTAATGAATTTAAATTACTGCCTCCAAGAAAATACCAAGGTGAATCCCTGAGTTTATCTAAATGTAATATATCAAATAATAACATATATATTTAAAGTCACGAAACCTCCCATTTATTCTGCTTTAGAAATAAAAATAATAAATCCTGCCCTTAAAGAGCAGGGCTAAAAATAGTCCTCCTTGGCTAGTTTTTAAGACTGGGTTGTTAGACATTTTAAGAATTTCCTTAGCTTAGCTTGCACCGGAATTATCTAAGCACCTCACACTTCCCTAGTCCCTGGCCTCCGTCTCCTGCATGAGCCAGCACGTTACAAGGCTTCTGACAGTGCGTCTTTGTGATGTGGGCCATTTCATTTCAATAACTAAAATTTTTCAGAGAGTTTCTAAGACAGCACCCTCTCAAATCATTTTTTACTGTGTAATGAGCATCCTAGGAAACTTCTAATGAAGTATAAACATCTATGCTTTTATTAAAAAGTATCCTTAGAATATTTATATGTGTTCATTGTGGAAAATGTATTTTAGAGTTTATCAGTTCATAATAGATATAGTTTTATAGTATTGTACCTAGTTGACAAAATGAGTAGACTATAAATCAAGATATATTTCTGTATGAACATATTATAATTTACAAACTACTTTATTTTCATTTTTATTAGATTTAAGTTGCTTTTTACTCTAATCATTTCTTCCTCAACATTCTTTCACTACTTGATTACCCACAAGCAAAAGTATATGTAAACTTCTCTAGTTAACGAATGTTTGATCACAATTTATGCACCTGTAGCTTAAGTAGGTTATTTCCTCAAGATTTTTCTGTGATAAGGTGGTGACCGGGACCTCATAATCTGTACATTTGTGTGTGTGTGTATGATGTTATTCACTTTAACTCTCAAGGTCTCTGGGAGACTTCAATCCTCTGTTAAAAAACAAAACAAAACAAAATTTGCTGAGATGAGTTAAATTTCACAAAGTTTGAGGGAAAACAATTTTAAAGCTGAGGACCATTGTAGACCAAAGTTGAATGCTCTACCTTAGCTTGTGTATGGTTTATATTTATAGCCCAAGGAAAAGAAGTGACATAAAGAAACAACCTGGGGCTGGGGGTTTAGCTCAGGGGTTCTGACGCCTGCCTTGCAAGCACAAGGACCTGAGTTCGATCCCTAGTA